AAAAAAAAAAAAAAAAAAAAGCCATTAGACAGGAAATACTTCAATTTCTTGTCTAGTAAGCTAACACTCCGTGCATCTGATCCAATTACAATGAAGTGGTTACCTGGCCACTTTCTAAGGCCAAACCAACCTTCCCATTATGGATTTGTGTTCTAATCCTATTCTCCCACCTCCTAAGGAAACTTGAGTTATTGATTACTCTCTCCATTTCCATTTGCTCCTTCTAAACAGCATTTAAATGTTTTAACATTCCCATTTTAGCACACACAACTATCCTTCAACCCTATTACCCTCTCCCCCGCCCCCACCATCCTCCTTCTCCCTCTCAAAGGAGCTCTGGTAGTGCAGTGCTTAAAGTGTTTGGCTACTAACCAAAAAGTTGGTGGTTCGAACCCACTAGCAGCTCCACAGGAGAAAGATGTGGCAGTCAGCTTCCTTAAAGATTTACAGCCTTGGAAACCCTAAGGGGCAGTTCTACTCTGTCTCGTAGGGTTGCTATGAGTAGCAATCGACTTGGTGGCAGTGAGTTTCGTTTGTTTTTCTCCCTCTCATAGTCGAACTTTTGAAAGAATGGTCTGTCCTTGATGTTTTAATTTCTCTGCTTCACTCTAATTCAGATATTACCCCAACTCATCATTGAAGCTAAAGTCACCAATAACCACTATGTCAGTTAATCCAGTGGACTCTTCTCAGCCTCATTTAACCTGACCTTTCAGCATTCTGACCACTCCTTCATAAAACATTCTCTTTCCTTGAGAAGTAATTCAAGTGCAGTAACCTTCCAGATATTTAAAAATTATCCTCAATCTTTTACAGTTGTCTCAATCACACCTATTTGGCACCTTTTTATTTGCAAACTCACCCTTTTATCTTTCCAAAACATTCAACTTAGTTTTGCTCTCTTTTCTTGTCTAGAGTTGTTTTTACCCACCTATCAGTTATAAAAAAAAATTTATAAAACATGCATAGAATATAAAGAACAACAGTAAAACACTTGTGTATCCACCTGTTTCAACTTAGTTTTAAGAGAAATAACTCTTTTCACACTCAAATTTCTTTAAATGAAAATACGTTCTGACTCATGGCAACCCCAACTGACATAAAAAAATCTGGAAACTAATACAATGACTTTTGGCAAGCATTCAACTCAACTTATGGGTGCAAAGTGCCCAGGCCTACAGGAGAAGTCTACAAGCTTCAAGTATTCAGTATACTGTGGGCATGGGCCGGTACGCTTTACAGAGGAAATAAGAAATGTCAGTTAACATAGGGAACTGACTAGATAGAAAAGAGCTTCTATACATCTTAAAGGTTTTCCGTATCAGTATACATAGATCTCATTCTTCTTACCTGCTGTATGGTGTGCAATAGAATTAGTTTAGACATTCCCCATTTATGGAAGGTAACTATGCTCACCACTATACCACCAACGCTACATTCCCCATTTATGGATAATTAGGTTATAGTACAATTACGGACAATACTGCAATGACTATTCTAGCACAATCTCCCCATTAATGAGAAATTATTTTTCTAGAATCATCATCTGAAGTGGAATTACTGTACTGGGTTGAAGGATATGCACGTTTCAAAATTTAACTGATACTGCCAAACAGCTCACCAAAATGAAAACCAATGTATATTTCCTTGTTAGCTGCCATTGAGTTGGCCCGACTCATGGTGACCCTATGCACAACAGAATAAATTCTGCCTGGTCCTGCACCATCCCCTAGATCAGGTGTTGACTGGACAGTTGCGATCCATAGGGTATTCATTAGCTGACTTTTGGCTGTAGATCACCAGGCCTTTCTTCCTAGTCTCTCTTCTATATATCAGCACCCATTTTACTCACTCTTATTACTGTTTGCCACCCAATCTTTTTCATTTTTGCCAACCTGATGAGTTAAAGAATTCTTCTCTATTTATTTGCCCTGTCCTGATAATTGGTGTTAGTAACTTTTTATATGTTGGACATCTATATGTCATCTATGAATTGCCTATACATGTAGTTCACATTTTCATGGGATTGTATTTTCCTTATTGATCTCTGGATGTTAAGTTATTTATGTTGCAAATACATTCTCCCTGTACCTACTTGTCTTTTAACTCTGTTTACAATGTTTCTTACTAATCTGAAATTTTTAATCTTTATGAGTTAAATTTCTCAATCTTGTCCTTTATGGCTTGTTTTTTGTGTCTTAAAAAGACATTTCCTACTCCACTGATGTAAACACGTTGTTGTCAGTTGCCGTTCAGTCCACTGCAACTCATGGCATCCCCACGCACAATGGAATGAAACTGCCTGGTCCTGCACTATCCCCATGATCAGTTGCAGACTGGATCACTGTGATCCATAGGGTTTTCACTGGCTGATCTTTGCAAGCAGATCACCAGGCCGTTCTTCCTAGTCCATCTTAGTCTGGAAGATCTGCTGAAGCCTGAAGCATTGGTGATTCAGTGGTAGAAGTCTTGCCTTCTATGCGGGAGACATGGGTTTGATTTCAGGTTAATGTGCAGCCATCACCCGTCAGTGGAGGTTTGTGTGTTGCTGTGTTTCATACTTACCTTCACTGAAAGCTTCCTAAGATAGGGATCTTACCTATCTGGTTCACCACAGTATCCACACCTGATACATAGTAAATGCAATAGTTAAACTTTTTTGATTACATGACTTATTCAAAGAACAAAAATCCCTTTACGGATTCACTTCTCATGGAAGGCAACAGAAAGGTGTGGTGGTTAATTTCTATTCATAATTTCATAACACAAATTTTGGATGCACAGTAAAGGAAGGCGTGTTTACTAAATTTGTACTAGTGGGTTTATAAAATCTTATATTTGTACTCCAGCTTGCTTGGTTGCCTTGCTGCTCCAGGTTGCCAGTCTGACTTCCCTGGCCAAAAAAAAAATAGTTAGGTAACACTGCACCTCAAATATGGAATTACTTAAAACACACTGTTTGGTCTAACACTCTGTTTCCCAAAGTGTTCCTAAAGTTCAATTGGTGATATACAAGATGATTTTAATGGTACACGGATGACATTTTATTTTACTAGTTGTATTTTTATTTTAACTTGTATAAAAAACTGTAAGCAGCCATGAAACCCACGGTTTCATCTATATTGCTTAGTTCAAGACTAAAGCACTTAAACTTTAAAAATAAATCAGTTTAAAGAAAATTATTGAGAAAATAACAGTACAATTGGTGAGAAAGGATGGCAAAAACAGTAACAATGGTACAGGTATAACTCATGTTTGTGTAACAATATACCGATGGGGCGAATAGCCTTGGCTATATCCTACACTCCTCCAAAAAAGTGAGTTACCTCCCGTCGGGTCGAAGTTCCCATCTCTACCTTCCCCAGAAGACAGCCAACTTGCCGCGGGATAAAGGGACTGGACAGGGAAACATAACTGGCCCTTGGCTGCGCCAATGGGGTTGCAGCGCGCGGGGAACCACCCCCGGGGTAGAAGAGCTTCATCAAGGGAGGGACTGGGACACAGCTGAAAGAGACTGACCCCCGCAGCCACTCTAGAGGCAACCAACTGCTCTTCCTCAGTTCTGGGCCTGGGGGCAGCTTTCATCACAAGCCTACGCCGGAGGCGAGCCCTGACTTTTTTTTTTTAAGGCTGGGCACTTAACGCGAAGTAATTACTGTAGCTTCGTTGGGTCCGAGGGACGTAATGTAAGCAGTGCCGAGGCCTGGACACAAGGAGTCTTATTACGGACACCGTGTGGAGGAAGAGAGCAAGAATTGTAGTTGGCAGAGATGGGGGAGGTATGGTTGCCACTGTAGGGAAGGAGGTGGGGAGCATAATGGTTTTCTATAGGAGCGCAGAGGGTAGAGCTCGCGATGCTGTGCGAACAGGGAACAGCCGAGCTGGGAGCTGGTTCCCAATACCTACAGAAAAAGAAGGGGGAGGAGTAACCGTAGGGGCCCCAGCACACCCAGCTGCGGTACACTCACCCTCACCAAAGTCCTTCCGGAAGTCCAAGTTCGAAGATGGCGCCGCCTGTCTGGTCGCGGCTTTATGACGAAATCTTGTAACTCCTCTTCTTTGAAGCCCCGACACAAGAGTAAACACGTGAGCTTGTCGGGAGTTTTTTGCCCTACGATTTTTAATTGGACTGTGTATCCCATAATGCAGTGCGGCGAGTCAGGGAGCCTTTTGTGAACCTGTGGAGCTACTGGGCGGCTTTAGCGAGGCAAGAGATCATGCATTGCCTCATGGGAATTGCAGTGTCCAGAAAGACAGACTGACGCCTGCGCCGTGACAATAGTCGCGCCCCCGCGGGTTCCCATTTGGCCTCTACGGAGCCTCGAGTATACTCGCTCCTGGGCGCTGAGTTCTGCCTTTTTGGCACGACTACTGGGCTTGAGGCAGGCAGCGGCAGGCTGGACCTGAGGAGAGTCTTCACCTGCAGGCCTTGCGCCATTGGAGCCAAACACAGAGACTAGCAGACAAAGAAATCCTTGCTGCCTATCGTTGCCAGAGAATGGCAGGGTTTTCCGGCTTTGGCAGCAGGGCATCCCCTGCAGATCCAGCCACTAGTGCTGTCAGGGATAAACCCGAGACAAAGAAAATGAAATGGGGCGTAGAAAGAGGGCAAGCTAGGAAAGAAGGAGCCTGGCCTGGGGTAGGGGTAGGGGGAGGTGCTGACTTAATAGGCCTTGCTCCATTCACTACATGGTGGGATACGGGTGAAGGAGAGTGTAACAAGTTTCTGTTCTTTCCTTAGGCACTTAAAGCCATATAAATTTTACAGGTCTCCACATACCCAGTAGGTTAGAGTTCAAGATGTATATATATGAACAGGAAACCAACCTTTCTCTTTTTCCCAAATAATCTCACCCATGAAATTCCTCTGGTTGTGCAAAACATTTAAGGAAAGGACAGGAGGAACTAGCTAAGATTTAAAGGAGGAAGGGGACACCCAAAAATTCTACTCCCATTCCACTTCTTAGTGGTCTAAAGACAAGCTAAGGCTGTGCTGTGGTTTAGGAATAACTCCTTTGTGAGAGCGCAAAATTGGGCACAGCTGAGGTTGCAGTTTGCCCAATATATTTTAATGCTTCTGATGGACAGCTCAGTTTCATTTACTTCCTCTCCATTTCTGCTACATAAGATTAGGCTTTCTTTGACTTGAACTGTTGCAAAATCTTTTTTAAATTAATGTACTCATTTTTGGAATAAGACATTCACATGGCTCAAAGTTCAAAAGATACAAAGGTATAAAAGTGAAGACTCCCTCCCACCTCTCTCTAGCCAACCAGGTCGCATCCACATGAGGAATTAATCAGTTTCTTATAATTGGTCTAAGATACTTTATGTATTTCTACATACGTGCAAATATGTATCTTTTTCCCTTTTTAATACAAACATAGCAACTGCACACTGTCCTGCACCTTTCTTCTTTAACCAAGTGGACCTTGGAGATTGTTCTATTTCTCTACACAAAACCTTCCTAAACCTTTGTGATGATTGCCTAGTATTTAATTGTATGCATGTAGTATAGTTGTGGTAGGAGCCTTGGTGGCACAGTGGTTAAGTGCTGGGCTGCTAACCAAAAGGTAGGCGGTTGGAACCCACGAGCCACTTCGAGGGGAGAAAGTATAATTGTTGCTGGTGTGTGCCTTCGAGTCAGTTCTGACTCATAGCGACCCCACAGGACAGAATAGAACTGTCCCAGAGGGCTTTCCTAGGCTGTAAACTTTATAGGAACAGATCACCGGTCTTTTCTCCTGCGGAGCAGCTAGTAGGTTGGAACCACTGACCTTGTGGTTAGCAATCGAGTGCTTAACCATTGCACCACCAGGGCTCCTTGCAGTGTATTGTAGTCTCTTATTAAGAGACTGGTGGTTTCCAGTCTTTTAATATTATAAACAATGCTGCTATAAATAACCTTACATCTAAGTTACTTTAAATATGTGCAACTATATCTGTAGAATAAATTCCTAAGTGGAATTGCTGAGTCAAAATTTAGGTGCACTTGTAATTTTGATTGATAGGCAGTAATCTCGTAACTGATCTGTTTGTCTGCCTCTAATCTCTATCAGATACCTTTCTAAAGCATACAGCTGACTCTGTTGATCCCCTGCTTAATTTTGACGACTGAGTGGTACACATTAAATATTTAAAAACCCGTAAGTTCATAATAATCCTTACAAAAGAGAAACAGGAAAAAGCAACAATCACCCCACTGGAAGTACACCACTTATACACCACTGGAACTAACTAGGGACCGACTCTTAATTAAGCATTTATCCTGCCTTGCCAGTATGAACTGTAATTCAGAATACTACCTATATAGCCCTAATTGATTGAGGGGAGGTTCCATATAGAAGAATACCAACTAAGAAATGTGAAAAGAATGATAGAATTAGAAAAAAATCACCATTTTGCAACCTCTGAAGAAATAACTCAGACAACAAACTCCAATGGATGAAATAACTAAATGAAAGGTTGTTGGAAACTTTAAAATGGATTGATCAGGCTTTCACTACCTGGACCCACTCATCATTGAAAACAGAACAACCAGCCAGTTTGCCGCCTGAGACAACACAAAGCATATAGCACCAGTTATGGAGTATTCTTGCCCGTAAAGTTGAATGGAAATACAGGGGTTAGAGGAATGAGTTCAATGACATGCAAACAAATACTCAAATCCAGAATGTGGGACATTTTATATGACAATTGACCAGGTTTCTGCAATGTCGATGTTAAAGGGTAAAAAAAGGAGAAGGGGACTGCTTTTTATTACAAGAAATTTAAGAGATATAATAACCAAATGTATGTGAAATTGTTTGGATCCTGATTCAAACAAACCAGCTGTAAAAAGTCATTTTTGAGATAAAGAAAGAAATTTGATTATGGATTAGACAATACTAACAAAATAATGTGATGATGATATTATTATATAAAATGTCCCTATTTTTTAGAGACACATACTGAAGTTTGTAGGGATGAAAAGACATGTCTGAGATTTGCTTTAAATTAACTTCAGCAAAGAAAAACAAAAAGAGAAAGCAAATCTTGATAATCGTTGCATCTGGTGGGGAGGGATTCTTTGTAAGATGCATTCTACTTTTGTGCCGTTTGAAATTTTTCAGTAACACACACACAAAATGGATGACTATTTTTAGACTAATCACACTGGTTAAACTCTCACAATCTAGCCCCAACCTACTTCTGCAGCTTTATCACTTTTCACATTAGCCTCAGTTCTATCCTCACCATACTATTTGATGCTTTGAAACTGGCCACTCAATTTAAGGCCTATCCTATCTATTCAAGCTATTCCCTCTGCTGAGCTGCCTTCCCATTTTTTCCCAAATGGGAAACTTCTTATCCTTCAAGGACTAGGTCAGATGTTACCTGTGAAGTCTTCTCCAACCTTACAAGACCCAATGGCATCATCCGTGATTGCTTCCAAGGAATTTTATTCATACTACTAGTAAAACAAAATACTATAGATACTATAGTATTATGGAAAATACTATAGATATCGTTTATATATCTGTTCTCCATTATAAGTCCATGATAAGTACTCCTTAAAGACATGTAGCATAATGTGAATCCAGACTGCCTGAGATCACAACCTGGTTTAGCTAGCTGTGTTACCTTGGCCAAGTAACTTCTCTGTGCCTCAGATTTCTCACCTATAAAATCTTACTTCATAGAGTTGTACTAATCTTTCCAAAGAGATAAGAAAAGGCTTAAAACAGTTTTTGATGCACAATAAGTACTCAAAAACACTAGCTAAGCTACTACTTAGGATAGGACTCATATTTGTCCTTATATTCCTCCTCATATCTAGCTTCTCATATCAGTGTCTGGTACATAGATGCTTGATAAATGATTGATGACTTGGATAGTTTTTGGTTTCCAAACTGACCTTCACTTTGGCTCCAAAGCACTGGCATGAAGCTGGAGACACCTGAGAGAGGCTCCATAAAGATTTGAGGTTGGTAGCAGGTGATAAGAAGGGTTGGGGAGCCTAGCCCTAACTTATGTGGCTGTGATACTAAAAGAGATACAAAGGCAGCAAAGTTGCTGAGTTTAGGGAGTATGTCATTTATTGACCATGTCCCCCCACTCACTGGTCACTGCTCTTGACTCGGAGGACAACAGGTACAGAACTGCAAGGGATCATCCCCAGCTCTGTGATCACCAGATCCACAAGCTCTGGGGGGGTTACATCATAGACCAGATTCAACAACCGTAGGGATGGGTAGTTCTGCCAGTTAGCCAGGGCCACATGTTCTCCCCTCTCACACAACAGATCATCAGGATCATCTGCAATGGGAGGTATACCCATTCACGTCCTTTTAGAAAACAAGTGGTATTTTAACCTCCCCTCACCCTCTCCAGTCTTCTCAGGTCCTCTGGAAACTTCTCTCCTGCCCTCCTGAGCCTCCTTACCTAGCTCATTAGAGACAAAGGCATCAGTCTGCACACGCTCACAGAACTTGTAAGTTTCACAGCAGACCAGCACTGGCACATTGTAAGCTCGAGCCACTAGGGCCAGCTGTGCTGTCCCTACCCGTGACATCACAGACCCATTGGCCAGGAGTGCATGAGCTCCCAATAGCACCTTAGAGACCTGTTTGTTTTAGAGAATGGGAAGAAGGAAGAAAAAATATCCTATGGGGTATGCAATGCAGAATAAGGTTCCCCACTTCTGCCCAAGCCAGCAATATCAACATATCTTAACAATGGCTCTTCTTTGAAAATACTTGACTGCTGACCCCTCAAACATCCCACAAAAAAAAACTAAACTCTGAAGTTACTTTTGCCCTGTTCCCTCTTGGTGGTTGCTAGTTTAATATAACGTGCTTGCAATAGCTACACTGTGCTAAAGCATACCATAGGTGGTTTTCCTATTTACCATAGGTGGTTATCCTGTGTATACATAGGATCTATACAATTCTAGTATTTCTAAATAATTATAATCTTGGGAAGGTGAGATTATACTTCTGCGCCCTTTTACTTCCAACTTTGGAGTCCCTTTCCCCTGCCCTCACCTCTGGGAGCACATAGGAAGCTGCAGCAATCAGCAGATAGGAGGTAGGGACCCCAGCACGGACCAGACAACGTAGCATATGCCTTCCCTCCAGCCGCGGCCGGCTGTCCACCACTACCACCCGAAACTGCCGGCCCTTAGCCCAAGCTTCCCGAAGAATTCGTGACACCAGAGATGAGCTGAAATGGAGAGGAGGATTCAGCTATAAATGCCACTAACTAATGCCCGGCCCATTCCCAAAAGGCAAGTGGGTAGTCCCTTCTTTCAGATCATTCCATCCCCCAATTTTCCCAGTCATAGGGTCCCTTTCCAGTACCCTGTTCTGGACCGTACCATCCATATACCAGGATCACATCTCCATTACTGATCTTCTTGTAAGCAAAGCGTGAAATTGCCTGAGCTGCAAGGACAATCTTCTCTTGCACATACCGATCAATGGCTGCTTGAAGTTCTGACTTAGCCTAGAAACAAACACATACCCTCCTGATTATCACACCAGATACTTGAACGTGTGTATGATGATGGGCTCAAATGTGGCATGAGTCAGACTGCCCAGACACTTCCTTAACCCTTGACTGGGGCAGAATGGCTTTCATTGCCCCTCCTGGGGCAACTGTCCTAAACATGTTTCTTAACTCTACCCCCAGCTGCATGCCTTTCCCATTCCTCATACTCATCACCTCCTCTTCCCGCTTGGAGCTGCTCACACCCGTGATCTCCTTGTTAAGGAACTTGATGGCGTTGTACATGCTTGCTGACAGGGGCCGGCACTGAGTCAGGAAGCTACAACAACAATACATTTGTGCAACTCTTTATAACTTACAAAGCTTTCACATTTAAAAAAAGTTTCTTTAGAAACAGAACAGAAAAATGAAAATGGAATTAGAAGAACAAGAGAAAAGGTACAAGACAATGAACGGGTGAGGTGGGAGTGGACTTGTAGTGGTTGTCCTTACCTGATGTAGGGTTTTAGTTTATTCACTAGATCCCTTGAGAGTTCTTCATTGGGAGGTGTTGTATAATCCTGAATCACCTACGGAGTACACAAGCTGATCAACAAAATGCCCCAAATAAAGGTCTCTGGAAGGGGGCTGGGGATAAACCTCACTGGGGAAAGTATTCTAAGGGTAGAGTCATTCCTTCTTCCCCCAGAGATTACCTGGGGTAAGAGAAGATGGAGTAGTATTGAGGAAGGTGGGGCTGGATCATAAGAGGAAACAGGATGGGACATACCTGCTGCAAGGCACGGAGCAGGGCAATACACCGGGCATTGGAGCCACTGACCAGGCCCTGGGAGTACTGCAGGCCAAGTTGCACCATGGCTGGGTGGATCACAGAGGATGGGATGCTGATGGGATGGCGGTGTCACACACTTTGCAAGGGAGCTGGAGCACCTACTGCCCACCTGCCCCTGATGAAAAGGAACTTTCTTCACTAGCACAGACTCCTCCATTTTTCCTATAGTTTTGCCTTGAATACATACTTCTCCCCACAGATCCAACCTCAAATTTCTAGTCACTTTCAATACTGAATTATTAAAACTCCTCAGACTTAAAAGTTACTACAATTTCGTAAGATCCTACCTCATATACTGGGTCAGAGAGTTTTGTCGGCTGTACTGGGGAAGGTGGGAGAAGAGGCTGACTTTGGATCCATAATCCTTTCGTGTAGGAACCTTGACAAAACAAGGAAATAGGACCAATGGCCTAGAATTTAAAACTTGTGGGATAAAGCTGGAAAGGAAATGAACAGTGAGAATACTTTGCCCCAAATACCCATCCTTCTCCAGGATTTCTTTGCCCCGATCACCTTTCTTCCTTCTATCCCGCCTTCCTAGGCTCTTTCTGGCCATACACCAAACCTGCTTTCTACCTGTTGTTGCTCCGGTTTCTTAACAAGCCTTCTCAGAGGTGTAGGGTCATCAACCTGAGTGTGCTCAGGCAGTCGCTTTGCTCCTGAAAGATAATGATCATGTTCTCAATAAACTGTAGGTGATATGGGGTAATGTGCTCTTAGGGGATAAGGGGCAGCAAGAAAAATAGAATTAAAAAAGCAGGGAAAAATAGCATAAAAGAAGGAATAGGTGTAGGATTGCGGTGGTGAGGTGGATTCTGCACTCTGGGTCTCAGGGAGGGGAGAGCTGTTTTACTCTGAGGAAGACTAAGCTACCACAAGAATTAGGAGTAACAGAGGTCTTGAGATGAAGGGAAGATACCTGAGGGGGTTTCTCCAGGTGTGCTAGGGCAGTCCTGAGGAGGAGGTCCTACTGGTTCCCCTTTCCTTGCCTGTTTCAGGGCTCGCTCTGCCTCCTGCTTGGCCCTCCGCTCAGCACGAAGTTCAGCTTTACTCCGACCAACTGGAACCTTCTCCCCAGGACTGACTAACGGATTGGTGGGCCCTGGCAGTTCTCTGGCTGCGCTTACTAAAGATAGAAGGAAGAGGTGCCCAAAACATAAGCAGACAATATCTGTGCCCCAGCCAAAGCCTCTCTCCTTGTTTATCTAAATCTCTTCTCCCTTCACGTGCTCAATCCAACTTTGTCCTGTCTCCCTGTCTCCCCCTCCTCTCTCCCACCACCCTCCTCTACCAGCTCCACACCCCAGCACTGTTAAAGCCCGGAACCTTGACACTGGGCTGCAGATACAGTCGAGCCAGTTTCCGGTTCTGTCCCCTTTTCCTCCTTCCGTTTCTTCTTCTGTTGTTTCTTTTCTTTCCGAAGCTGCAGCTTCTCTTCTTGGGTCATCTCCCTCCCCACTGCCTGAGACACAGACATAGAATACTGCTCTTCCCCAACAATCCCAAAGGTGAATAAACACTATTGGATACTTACATGATTACCACAAGGGCAAATCCTTAATTCTAATTCCCACCAGCTCCCTGTTACAAGCTTAGATCCCACAGGGATCGAAGTATCTCCTCCAGAGTCACATAACGTCAAGGCTGAACGAACTCAGTAAAATCTCATTTTACCAAGATATAAACTGAACGGGGGTGGAGGTGCGGGCGGAATGAAGCTAACAGAATCTCCTGCGTAGCAAGGAAGACTTTGACAGACGGCTTAGGAGGGTGCCCTCACTTACCCCAGACCTAGAAGAAAGCTCCGCCTTCATGCCGGATCCTGAGTCTGCATCAGAAAACAGGGCGCAAAGTGAGCAGGAGGATTTGGGAGAGCCTGGCGCAGCCGGCTGCTGGGTTGGCATGACCACGGCTCCGCGGCCAGGCGGGAAGCTAGCCAGCGATCCGCGTGGGGACGCGCTGTGCGGCAGGATCAAAGGAAAGGAGGGGGACGGAGAAAGGTGGGGTCGCCCACCCTTCTCACAGGAACCAGCCGGTACGCGGCGCGGAGCTGCGCCCGAGGCTGTGGAGATCAGATTCCGGCTTGGCGCTGGAACGGGCCAACGGGGCCCAGAGAAGCCTAGCAGCAACCGTCCCAAACCCGCCGTCTCGCGTATCTGTTTATGCGCCGGAGCCCTCCACTCACCCTCGCGAACGGCCACAGCCACGGCAGCCATCACCCTCAGTCCTTGGCTCCGCCCCCTGCGGTCACTGGGCCGCAGCGGTGCCTCGCTCCGCTGTCGCTGGGATTACAGCGCCACCTGGGCAGGAGGCTGAGTCGCTAACACACGCGGCACGCAGCCCCAAACGGACTACAATCTCCGACGTGCACTGGGGCTCCGTTCAGGGCTACGGGTCGCGATGAGGGCCATGTCAAATTTGTGCTCCCAGTTGCGATGGTTTCCTTAGCCTGTACACTACACTTCCCAGCATGCCGGGGGAGCTGCGCCCCAGAGCGGACGTTCCACCTCCCTTCCCACCTCCTATTTCAGGCCCCCCCAAAATGGCGAGGGAGGCTGCGGGTACGCGCTGAACAGCGGAGGCGAGCGTGCAGAGCCTCTGCGGCCCTCACAGTCTGGAATTCGGCGGGCCCTGCCGCCAGGAACATGCACTTTTCCATTCCTGAAACCGAGTCCCGCAGCGGGGACAGCGGCGGCTCCGCCTACGTGGTGAGGAGCGGCCGGCGCCGGGCCGGGCAAGGGTGGGGATAACGGGCCGAAGCCCTCCCGGAGCGGCCTCCGAGGCCTGGCGGCCGACCTTTGGGCCTGGGCCCGAGTTATCGACTCCTGACGGCCTCGCAGGGCGTTTATCTCACGTCCCAGATTCGTCCAGAGATCGCCCTGGCCCCTGTAGCTCCTTTATTTGGCCGCGTCGCCTCCCCTGGATGGGCCGCGGCTGCTTTGGAGGGCGTCACTTACCTTTTGGGGAGGGAGTCTGCAGCACCAGCGCCCAAGTTTTCCTCGGACCCGCCCTTCTGTTTTGGGACTTGGCCGGGAGGAAGACAGGCTAACCAAACCTCAGATGATTTCAGCGCGTTATTCAGAGTTGTGCCGGGCAATTTCCGGCCGAGGCTCTCAAGGGAGTAGCCCAAGGGGGGACCGTAAAATGCTTGCCTGCTTTTGTGTCCGCAGGCCTATAATATTCACGTGAATGGAGTCCTGCATTGTCGGGTGCGCTACAGCCAGCTCCTGGGGCTGCACGAGCAGGTGGGACTAGCGCTCCTGCCTTGAGGCAGCTTCAAGCCCTTTCCTAAACACTGGCATCAGTGTTCTATTTTTAATTCTCTTCGTTTTCCCGTAGGTTGCAGTCCCCTTTAATCACTGCCACAGGGGAGGATCCGGTGCTTTTATCTTATCTTCTGACATTTCTTTGGAACTCCCTAAGAAACTTAACGTCCGCTGTGCTGTTCCTCTTCCCCATACTCACATCCTCCTTCCTGCTTTTATCTGTCTCCAGTCTTACTGCTTTTCAGCCTTTGCCTGTGCACGGAAAAACCAACCCCCTCCTGACGGCCAAAACACATTCCTTCTGTCATCTGAGCTGCAACTTGAAGTTCTTTTCCCTGCTCATTCATTCATTTCCTTGTGTGTTCTTTGGCCCATCTCAGTGTGTGTGGCTGTTCCAGTTATTGCCATGTATCTGTGATGCCGTATTTCTCTGCCTTCTTCACCAGATGGTGAACTCTGTAACTCAGTACAGAATCCTGGTTTACTGATACTTAGTTGTGCAACCCTGAGCAAGTTACCTAATTTCTTGGGCCTCAGTTTCTGCAACTGAAAAACGGATTAATTTATCTCCAAAGTCTTTTTAAGTTCTAAGATACTTTGTGAACATACTTAGCTATTAACTGTGCACTTAGATTTTCCTTACAAAGCCCTTTGCTTCCTGTCAGGGTTCAAAGAGCAGAGTCTTGCTAATCAAGAAGCTCTCTAGGCCCTGGCCTCATACAAACCCTCCCCACGTTGTGGAGGGTCTGACTTGTACACAGTAACATAGGAAAGAATTTATATCTAGGACAGAGGAACAACTCCCTTGAGATGCTACCTCTTCCAAAGGAATTGTTTCCCAGATGATCAGGGTAAATGGAGCAGGGACTGGGGGAAGGAAAAGGGAGCCCAAGAGAACATGATGGGTCTGAATTTCCTCTTCTCATTTTGTATGTTTATATGAAGGGTTATGTTTCTTTCTCTGAATAGCTCCGGAAGGAGTATGGGGCCAATGTGCTTCCTGCATTCCCCCCAAAGAAGCTTTTCTCTCTGACACCTGCTGAGGTAGAACAGAGGAGGGAGCAGTTAGAGAAGTACATGCAAGCTGGTGAGTGGTTGGAGGGAACTGTAGGCTATGTTGAGGACTGTGGGAAGAGAATAAAACCAGTGGTCCTCTAGAAGCTCCTAAATTCACTTCTCGATCTGGGGAGCCTTCTGTTTGATCTGTTATTTAATTAGCAAAGGTAAATAGTGTGCAAGGATGTGTAAATTATATACTAGCATAGCAATCTGGGCACAAACATCTATGAGAATACTAGCATTACACTAAATATTCTTAAAGCAGTTTAGATTGGTGGGGAAAACTCCATTTGTATCTGATATGCTTTAGATTAACATTGTTATTTCCCTAGTTCTATAGAACTGGACCCAACTAGATGGCAGCCAAGGGTGGGGCAGGTGAAGAATTTATGCAGTGAGTGAGGTGAGGCCAGCTAGGGGATGTGGCAGGTCATCATCAGCCCAGGAAATGGGGTCGTGACCAGCCAAGAGGGAGTCCTAAGTTACCGGAACATAATTCCCTTGTCCCCACAGTTCGGCAAGACCCATTGCTTGGGAGCAGTGAGACCTTCAATAGTTTCCTGCGCCGAGCACAACAGGTAAGGCTTGGGTGAGACCAAGATTTAAGGGAAGGGCCTTGCTGGAAGGCCATGACATTTTAATGAGATGGCTGCAAAAGAGTCACCTTTTTTAATGGAATGGGGTTTCTATTCTACCGGTTTTAAGTTCCGTTCTTTTGGCGTTCATTTCCTGCTATTCCACGGGTCTTAGAGACTTTTTCTAGGAACTCAGAAGTACCAGTGGGACGCTTTCCTCCCCTCAAGAGTGCTTTGTCACTCACATGCGACAAGGATGAAATTAAAGAAACTCAGCCTGCATTTACGCAGCTGAGAACAAAGACACCAGAGGGCCTTAGAAATAAGAGAATTGAGGATGAGTTAGAGCTGGCCCCTAGGCAGGGGTTAACAATGTAGTGCCTTCCATCCCATCTGCTCACAACCAGGAGACACAGCAGGTCCCCACAGAAGAGGTCTCCTTGGAAGTGCTGCTAAGCAACGGGCAGAAAGTTCTGGTCAATGTGCTAACCTCGGATCAAACTGAGGATGTCTTAGAGGTGAGGCCCTTATTTTATATTGCTCTTTCCACTCCCTCTGCAAGGTCTCCGACTTGGGGTGTTTGGAACCAGCCTGTATGATAAGCTGTACTTCCTGTCTCTGTCCTCAGGCTGTAGCTGCAAAGCTGGATCTTCCAGACGACTTGATCGGATACTTTAGTCTCTTTCTAGTTCGAGAAAAAGAGGATGGAGCCTTTTCCTGTGAGTTTCTGCAGACTTTACTGCCTCTCTGTGTTTCCAATAGTGAATTCACCTCCCCGTTACTTGGTTATTTCCTTAGGACTTCTCTCCTGATTTTCCTTCCCCTGAGTCTCATGACATTTTCCTTTTCTTTTCTTCCCACTCGTAGTTGTACGGAAGTTACAAGAGTTTGAGCTGCCTTATGTGTCTGTTACCAGTCTACGGAGTCAAGAGTATAAGATTGTGCTAAGGAAAAGGTCAGGGCTGGGCTTGGAACAGGGAGAGGGTGCTGGGTTAAATTACTGGGCCACATATTGAGACAATAATCTGGACAGGCGGGAAGAGCTGAGTGTTTCTAAAAGGCCTCTTAAGCTTCCTCCCACTGCACCACCTTGTAGTTCCAGGCTGCTGCTGTTCTTTTTTGTCTGTTTTCCATTACACCTTTTTCCTCACTCCAGTTTAGCCCCATTACCCCTTTCCACCCCTTGACCTCACAGTTATTGGGACTCTGCCTATGATGACGATGTCATGGAGAACCGGGTTGGCCTGAACCTGCTTTATGCTCAGGTGAGCTTATAGTGCCTTAGAACCCCTCCCCTGAAAATGACTCTGGTGTCCCACTCTCCAAGAAAACTCCCTTCATGTCTTTGCTCCCAGTTCTTGGGGAAGTTCCTAGAATACTATCAGGGCACCTGGCACAGCCCCTACTGTCCTGCTGTATAAGCTGATAAGATCAAGGACTCACTGCAAAGAGGTTGGACAGAGGTAACCTGAGACACTTTCCTCAGATCTCTGATTGGGAGCCCCACTCCCCCATTCCTTGTGTCCACTGTAGACAGTGTCAGATATTGAGCGTGGGTGGATCCTGGTCACCAAGGAGCAGCACCGGCAGCTCAAGTCTCTGCAAGAGAAGGTCTCCAAGAAGGAGGTAAGGCCAGCTTAGCTTCTTTCCTGTCGCCTTCCAAGGGACTGCTTTCTCCAAGCCGCCCTACTCCCCCTCCCTGACTGCCTCATGGGATGGCTGCATTTCAGTTCCTACGGCTGGCCCAGACGCTGCGGCATTATGGCTACCTGCGCTTCGATGCCTGTGTGGCTGACTTTCCAGAAAAGGACTGTCCCGTGGTGGTGAGCGCAGGCAACAGTGAACTCAGCCTCCAGCTCCGCCTGCCTGGCCAGCAACTCCGTGAAGGTTCCTTCCGGGTCACCCGCATGCGGTGTTGGCGGGTTACCTCCTCTGTGAGTTGGAGCAGGAAGGGAAAGCCTGCTGGGAGGTGGGTCTGGCTGACCTTGAACTTCAGGAATGGGCTGCAAGGGTCAGGAAGGGAGGCAGGTAGGTCAGAATGAACTCAACCTAATTCCCCTAACTCCCAGGTGCCACTGCCCAGCGGAGGCACGAGCAGCCCGGGCCGGGGCCGGGGTGAGGTACGCCTGGAACTGGCTTTTGAATACCTCATGAGCAAGGACCGACTACAGTGGGTCACCATCACCAGTCCCCAGGTGTGAGCCCACCCTCAGCCTCCTCTGGAGCACATTGTGCGGTCTGTCTTAGATACCCAAGTCTAGGGCTTCTGGGACTCCATGTGAGTGGGAGCCTTTGTCTTAGCGGTACTGGGCCAGGATGATGATTCGGTTTAGGCTGAGTTCTTTTCCTGCCCCAGGCTATCATGATGAGCATCTGCTTGCAGTCCATGGTGGATGAGCTGATGGTGAAGAAATCTGGTGGCAGTATTAGGAAGGTAAGAAGCAGTTGTGGACTAAGCAGCTAAGTGGTTGTGTTCTGCCTGCTTTTTGTCCTGGGTATGAGGCTTCTCTTGAGAGAGAGGGAAAGCGTTGGGATTCTAAAGGGAGTGATCCCATCCTCATCAACACCTCATATCTCCATCCCAGATGCTGCGCCGGCGGGTGGGGGGCACCCTGAGGCACTCAGACAGTCAGCAAGCAGTAAAGTCCCCGCCGCTGCTTGTAAGTATTACTCACTGGTCGGTACCCAGGCTCCCAGCCTTGCTTCCTCCTCCCCCAGTGAGGTGTCTGACATCTCTATCTCTTCTTCCCCAGGAGTCACCTGACGCCAGCCGGGAGTCCATCGCCAAACTCTCAGTGAGTTACCTACAGGGGTTGGTGAGGTTGGTGTTTGTAGGGGACCTCCAGAAGGCTCAAGCCCTCTGACCCCACCTGCCTTTGTTACAGAGCAAACTGAGTGCTGTGAGCTTGCGGGGGATTGGCAGTCCCAGCGCAGATGCCAGTGCCAGTGACGTCCACGGCAATTTTGCCTTTGAGGGCATTGGAGATGAGGATCTGTAACCTCCACTGTTTGGATGTCTGCCCTCTACCCCTGAGAAATATACAGAAACTTGCCCTGTGCCTGTGCACCCCCAAGCTGGGGGTCTTTTCCTTTCTACCTTTCTCTCTTCTCCCCTTGGCCAGGGGCCTCCTAACCTGTCTTCCCTCCCCCCTGGGCTGGCTGTACAAAGGATTGCCCCCTTTCTCTTTTCCGAGCTGGCCTCAATGCCAAATTAGCATTTAGTATTTTGCACAGAGTCCAAGGGACCATGGCTACCTGCCTTGGCGAAGAACCACAGCTCTCCCTGGCTACTTCTGGCTTCTCGGGGCCATGGGCCAAGGGGATGGGCAGAGGTCTGTATATGGTCTGGCCTAGCTCCCCATCATTAAACTCAGCCTGACTGCTGCCTACCTCTGGTTCCCTCTCACTGCCCCTGTTCCCTGCATCACAGCAGGGACTACTGTGCTAAGGGGGAGGCCAAGTTGTGCTTGCCAGTGCTAACTCAGCATAGACATGGCTTTGTTAGTGTTTCCTTTATTATAAAGCACTGAAATAAGTTAAATAAACAGACGGGAGCCTGGGTAGTCCCCCAGCCAGTCCTTCCACAGCCTCTGGAAGCAGTGGAGGTAAATACAGGGCCCTTCTCACTGAGCTCATGAAGTGCATCAGTCAAGGCAAGGGCCCCGGTCCACATGGGTCTCCCGCCCATGGGGTTTGGGCTGGTCCATATAGCGCCTAGGTTAGTCTGTGTGGAGCCCCTGGCCAGCGGGGGAGGAAGGAGGTGGCAGCTTCTGGTCAGTCTGTATAAAACATACATGAGGGTCAGGGCTAATCCTTAGGGCCCTGGAAGAGAAGAGCCTAGTTCAGGGTGAGTCTGTGTGAAGAGTCCGGCTACCAGCAGTGCCCAGGGCTGTTGGACCCCGAGAGCTCAAAACTGAGGGTGGGCTATGAGGCGGGACCCAGCCCTCAGAAGCAGAGAGGCCAGGCCCTCCTACACCACCATGGTCATGCACCTTCTGGTGGCGCTTGTAGTTGTCCCAGTGGCCTGTGGTGTAGGCGCAGGTGGCACAGCGGAAGGGCTTCTCGCCTGTGTGCCGCAACATGTGGCGTTTGAGGTTCATGCTCTGGTTGCAGCTGTAGTTGCAAAGGCTACACCGAAAAGGTTTGTCACCTGAATGGATGCGACCGTGACGCTTGAGGTTGGCCAGGTTGCCACAGGCATAGGGGCAGAGGGGGCACTTGTAGGGCTTCTCTCCTGTGTGGACGCGCTGGTGCCGTTTCAGGTTATCCAGATGAGCAGAGGCATAGGGACAGCGAGTGCAGCGGAAGGGTTTCTCGCCACTGTGTGTCTTCATGTGCCGGGCCAGGTGGTTGGGATAGTGAGTGGCAAAGGGGCAGAGGCTACAGGCAAAGCCTTTGTCACTGGGACCCTGGGGCCCCCCACTGGCACCCCCTCCAGCCTCTCCTTGTCCACAGCGCCCACACATGGCAGCTCCCAGGCGACTGCCCTCACTCTCCTCCAGCTCTTGCCCACAGCCCCGGCAGGTCCAAGGGAACAGCAGCTCTGGCAGTGGTTCTGATCCAGTCCCACAAAGGCCCTCCCCTTCACCTTGCAGCTGCCCACAGTCTGGCAGGAAACTGGCACCACCTGGTGACACATGGAGGCTCAAATCTGGAAGGAGCAGAGCATCTGTGGGAGCAGTGAGACCTGGACTATGAATCCAAGTATCCCTAGGGCCACCCACCCCTGCCCCAGGGTCTCTGGCCCCTGGCTTTTTACCTTCAGGTCGCTGGGGCACTGCCCCCTCCTGCTCTGTGGGACTGGGAGGCCGGGTTGGTCGTGGGGCACAGCAGCGGAAGCCACAGCTCAGGCAGGGAGGAGTGGGGGGCCCCGCATGGGTGCGCTGATGCCGCCTCAGGTTGCCCAGGCTGCTGCAGGCAAAGGGGCAGTGGGGACAGCGGTAGGGCTTCTCGCCAGTATGGGTGCGAGTATGCCGCGTCAGGTTGACCAGCTGGGCTGAGGCGTAGGGGCAGTGGCCACAGCGGAATGGCTTCTCCCCGCTGTGTGTCTGCATGTGCCGCTTCAGGTGGCTCGAGTAGTGGGACACGAAGGCACAGAGGCGGCATGAGTACAGTAGCCGTGGGGGCAGCGGGGGCCCCCCACCCGGCCCTCCTGCCCCACAACACGGCCCCTCACCTGTCGGCCCCCCACACAGCTGGCAGGCTGGGCCTGGCCTCTCACCCCTGGCCTCCCCTGGACCCCTGGCTGGCTCCTCAACTTCACTCTCGGCACTTAGTGCCCGGCCGCCCCCAGACTCGTCGTCGCTCAGCCCGTAGGGAAGCCCAGGCCTGGCCCCCAGAGAGTCTCCTGGTGAGACAGACATGAGAAGGGACATCATCATGGGGTAAGACCAGGCTCCAATTCTCCCCTTGTCACCTGTGGTCTTCCCCACTTGCCTGTCCCCACCCTTCTCTTAGCTTCAGTGATCCCTTTAGTTCTCTTCTAGAGACATAAGTCTCCCCTGCAGCAACTCGAGAAAATTCAATATGAATTACCGTCTTTTAAGCCTGAACTAATCTAGCAGCCATAGAGTTGAGCTGTACCTAGTTTTACTGAATGGAAAAAGGATCTAGGGCTCGCCTCGAAGTGGACAGTAGACTGAAATGAATCAATAATGTGATTGATTCTTGGGATAAGAAAGTAAAAATACAAAAGGCAGAGACCTGAAACCTTTTTCTAAGCTGTATATTAGTAAAGCCCCTTTTAGTGTGGACCTGATTACAAAATGAAACATATCTGAAAAGTGAGGCAGAAGTTGGAAGGAGGTGGAAACAGAGTGCCGGATGTAATACCACTTCTAAGCTTAAAGGATGGATTCTCACTGACAAGGATTCCCTCGATGTTCAAAAGCATCCTTTATAAGTGGATAGGTAGTACAGCAAATCAGAATGGGGTGATCGTAAGATCACAGGAAAGAATTGAATGTAGGAGAGGATACTTATGAGTAGAGACAGAAACCTTAATACAAAAGGAGTTTATGCTGCAGGTGAAAGGAGGTTAGATTAGACAAAAATGCTAGCAGAGAAGCTGCTTTGCTGAACCTCTTAAAAGTAGACACACAGGAATGGGCTGTGGAGAACAAGGTTATTAAAAGGACATTTACTTCTAACCAGTTACTCCATGTGATTCACCCAGTCCTATTCATCCCACCTTTGGGTCAGGCCCCAGAACTTCACTAAGTTAGAGTGGAGTAGACTGGAGAACCTCAACAACGCGACAGAGCTCATTAGACCATCTGGCAAACAAATCTAGCTTAAATCTAAACTAAACCAGCCCTAGGTTATGGCAGGAAATGGTGTTTTGCACACTGGCACTAAACTAACCTTCCTCCTGAAGAGCTTGGGGTCCCGGAGACCATCAATCCTTAACCAAGCCCCCAAACCCACCTTCAGAGTCTCTGTCGAAGCCCATGAGCTGGTCGCTGTTGCCGTCACCTTCCTCCTCTTCCTCTTCAAACTCCAGATCCTGGCCTAGTAGCAAATCACTCTCCAACACCAGGGTGCCAGGTCCTTCCTCGAGAGAGTCTTCAGTATCCACTGAAGAGGGGAGGGGTCTTGTGGATTCTCCCTCAGGAGCCGTGCCCATCATCCGCACCGCGGGGAGCTGGCCCTCGTGGACCGCACTTCTCGTGCTCGCTGACCCCTCTTGGTCCACTTAGAACCTCGGTAGGAAGCTAGGAGTCCAAAGCGCCCACCCCATCCCTTAGGAGTCCCCTTCCACCCCGACCTGAACCCACTCCACTAACCCCACCCCCGCTCCTCCCCCGTCGCGGCCCCTGACCCCTGACCTTTGACCCCCTCACATTTCACGGGCTGTGGGTGGCTTTGCTTCCTTCGGGGCATGGTGACCGGCTCCAGCCCGACGCGCCTCCGGCCTGCGGCCCAGCCCCTCCAAGCTCGGCCCGGCCGCCTGCCCTCCCTTTCAGGGCCCGCGGGCCGTCCCCATGCAGCGGCGCGGGCCCCGGGCAGCCCCCAGCCCTGGCCCCAGCGCCCAGCTCAGGCCGCTCCCGCCGCCGCTTCCATTCATGGAGCCCCCTACCCTCCCCCCCCTACGGAGACCAGCTGGTACCTCCGTACTCGCTTCCGCTTCCGCTGCCGCAGAGCTACACGGGACGCGTAGTTACGAAAAGCAAAAGCCGCAAGGGCTTCCACAGCGTGACCAGGAAGTGATTGTGACGCAAGAAAGCGGACGAACCAATCAGAGGCCAGCTAGAAACCGGGCCAGCGAGTAGGGTAAGAGAAACCCTACCCCAGGTTTGTCTCGGACGCCGTCAGAGCGGTCCTGACAGCTCCGGGGAGGAAGTAGGAACTTATCCCTGACTCCAGGAGGGGGCGTCGATGAGCCGCGATGCCGGGCCGCCGGGCATCAGGCACCAGCTACCAGCTCTGTGCCCCTTCCTCTTACACACACAGTCAGCAAGGCGAAGCCCAGCAGCAGGGCACTCTGCGCCGGGACAGGGCAGCAGTGGAGAAAAAATGACACCATGGGCACGATCAGGTTTTGGCCTTTAGTCTGAAAAAGTGTTGATTGAAAGTGTACAACAGAGAGCAGGTGCAAGCGGCTGGGGGCCATGGAGCCGCCGATAAAAAAGAATGTCCTTAAATAAAGTGTTCACAGAGTAAAAACCAGAAACCCAGTCCTTCCCTCCAACACAACAGCACAGGCACAGAACCGGTGATGAGCCCAAAGGAGCAACGGAGGAGGCTGGGGAGGACAGGAGAGGCTCCCAGGCTGCTGTGTGGAGGGAGAGCCCTCTTTGGAATGGGCTGAGTAAAGCCACCCAGCTCCCCCTGCACACCTCATACCCACTGCTAAGGCTAAAGGAAAAAGACAAAACTCAGTCTCAGGTCCGGAGGGCTCTGAAAACAGTCTAGGTGGGCAGGGGTGTGGATGACTGCTAGTCCCGCTTGGCCTTCTTGTTGTCACTGTTGCTGTTTTCCTCAGCCCCCTCAGAGGTGAGCACCTCCTCCAGTTTCCGCTTGCCACTCTCTGGCTGGAGTTCAGCAGTGTTTCGGGGCTTGAAGCAAATGATGATGCAGGTCATGTTGTCACACCCTGTACCGTCCCCAGAAGTGTCTGGTGCCAGGCACTGATCCAGCAGCTGCAAAAGAGGCAGGGCAGCTCAGCCATGGGGTTTGAACACCTTCCTGGACAGAAACTAAAACCCTACAAGAGGGCTGGCTCTCCCTGCTGAGACAGGGAGGAGGTGAATGGGCATCAGGTATCACAAAACAGCCTACTTGCTAGTCCATGAAGCTTAAGGCTGAGTCACAGAGAAATGAGGGAAGATGGAACTTTTCTGTCCAGGTTTGCCATGTCAGTAATTAATGGCTCTCCTAGGCTCTGATTATCAGCTCAGGCTAAAAGAGAAACCTCTGGCTATGCAAACCAGACACCCTCTCCCCTCCACCCTGGGACTCACCTCTTCCACAATCGATGACAGTAACCGAAGCTCCCCATTTTCGTCACGCTGGCTGATCTTTGATTGAATAAAGTCTACAACTTCCTGACTGCTCATCACATTCCTGAGGTCAAAAACAATAGTCAGAATCTTGTGCAGCTCCACCCAGGCAGAGTAGGGGAGTGTGGACAGAGGTGATGGCACAGACCAATATAAAAACCTCCAGAGATTCTCCTCAGCTCTGCGTTGGCCTTGCAGGTCTTGGCTCATCAACAGGTCTACACAGGCTCCAATCCTAGATCAGCTTGAGAAAAGGTGCTGATCTAGGGCCATTGTTGTTGCTGTTATTAGGTGCCACCGAGTCAGT